TGAAGATTTAAATTTAGTTACTTTAAAAAAGATACAAGTTGCCTCAAAGATATTTTTTGTAATAAAATGTTTTATATTTTTTTTTAATTTAGGGGTTGTTAGATGACTGCTACCCTCCAGCCAGGTCTGTATTTCTGTATTAGGATATTATGGAAGAAGTATCTAAAAAATTTTCAGAATGTTTCAAATACCTACCCAAAAATGTCTACCAGCTCTTGTACCAATTTTTCATCCTCTTTAGGGAAATTTTTAGTAAAAAACGAAAGACTTATTGGCTCTGAAGAAAAACCAGAATATCTTAGTAAAAAAACACAGATTTGGTTTAAACTACATTGGGATGAATCACTAGGAATCTAAGAATACTAAAAATTGTGGAATGGTAAATTTAACAATTAGTAGATCACATTTCCGATTACATTATTATTTTAAAATCAACTTTAACGTTTAAGTCAACTCTTATCCATGTGAGTTTAATATTAAAGCTTGTTTTAAAATGATCATAAAATCAGACGCCGTCACTTATAATAATTTGCTTATATAATAGAAAATTTATATTTTGTTTCTATTTATTATGTTTATTATGTTTCGTTGTCTTTATATATATTTTATTTTATTTATTTGAAATCTTTAACAGGCCGTGTAGGCCTATAGTAAGTAATGACATATTGCATAAGTCTTTATTAATTAAAGACATATAAATAAGTTTAATATTAATTTTTTATAATACTATTATATATATATATATATATATATATATATATATATATATATATAATGAATACTATAATTTTATAATACTATTATAAAATTAATATTAAACTCACCAGTCTTCCGGGTTAAATCGCGTTGATATCCATTGCGCCGAGCTTTCGGCATCCTCTCTGATGTCTTCTTCAGGGCTTTCGAGGTCTTAGTCTTCCGATTCTGTTTTATAATAGTATTAATCTTAGCTCTTCTAGGTTTAATTGTACTAACCGCGGAAATCTTTGTATTCTTCATGTAGTCTTCATGTATATGCATTTCGCAGTTTTAATGCTTCAATATCTGTAAATTTTTGGTCAGAATAGATTTTTGATTTTAGATACCTCCAGGTAAAATAATCGTTGGGAGCTAGATCTCCTGATCTCGGGGGTCACTTAATATTACAGTCAGGTCCAATCAAAAAATTATTAAAGCTGTTTCTAAGAAATTCCTTAACCTCCCAGTAATTTGGAGGAGGTAGAATAAATATTCCTAATCAGATATTAGTTTTTGACGATATTGGATATGGCTTTCAATAGTATCCGCAGGCTTTCTTGTCGACCAAATCCTATAATTTTAAACATTTGGTTCATTATTTAATGTAAATGTATATTCATTACTAAACAAAATGTTTTTTAAAAATTGTCTGTCTGCATTAGCCCTATCTAACATTTCGTAACAAAATTGCGCTCGTCGCTCAGCATCTCCTTCTCTTAGTTCTTGATGACATTAAAATTTATATGAACACAATTTATTCCTTTTCAAAAAATTTAAGGCTGTGGAATTATGAATATTAAACTGGTCTGCAATGGTCCGAGAACTTATTCTAGGATTTTTTACAACTGCTGTTATTTCATTTTGATTTTCTAAATTTCTTGGTATCTCAGCAATATTATTTGTACGAGTGCATTAGAAATTATGATCCCAGTATTTTTAAAATTTTGTAAAATCCTTTGAATTGTTGAATTACTTGGAATTGGTCTATTGTGATATCTTACGCTAAATAAAGAACTGACAATTCTCGCAGTATTTCCTGAAAAAAACATTTTTATTATTGCTACTTTCTCCTCAACTGAATATATTTTTTAAACATGTATTATATTCTTGCAAAATTTTGGAATACGTTTAATTCGTAGAACAATTTTAACATTTGCTTTCCTATGGCCTTTTGACGATTAATCACCCTGTATATATATACAAGAAATACTGGATATTAGTGACTGTCGATATAAATAAACAACACAGTTTATTAGGGTTGCAGTCAGATTATTGGCCGGGATGTTAAAAAAACACTCTTTTGACTTTTTGTCGAGCTTTCGGAATGGTTTTATTCCTTTTTCAACACACTGTAATAAGACAAATATGTAAATATTTAAAAATAAAATAAAATAAAATATAAAATAAATAAAATAAAAATAAAAATAAATATTTTGGAAAAAGAAAAGAACCATTCAAAACGTGTTTTTTGGAAATGTGTTTCATAAAATCTAGCACATCTTGCATAAACAAAAATCTGACATAGACAAATTAAGCAACATTTATTGTTATTTACTAGAAAAACACCAAAAATAAAATAAATATTTACCTGTACATAAATTACACCTCTATGTATAATATGTTGCATACCATTAATACAGGTTTAAAAAGTATAGTCATCTAAGAAGGGCCTCTAGTATTTTTTGAAAAGAAAGATAACATCAATTACACCTAATTACATGTTAATTACAGTGTTTTTTCCTTCCATTCTCTGTATGAGTTAAAACACACCAGTAAAACATGCCATCAACTAAGTTTTACTATTTTTACAATAAATTTTAAAAATTTTATAATGTATTTTGTCCATAATTGTATATTTTAATGTGTGTTATAAATGTTGAGTGCCAATGCTTATATAAATAATCTCAACGACTTGTAAGTTAGAATGAAAAATTGTGATATTTTTTAAATATTTACAGATTTGTCTTATTATAGTGTCTTGAAAAAGGAATAAAACCATTCCGAAAGCTCGACAAAAAGTCAAAAGAGTGTTTTTTTAACATCCCGGTCAATATTCTGACTGCAACTCTAATAAACGTGTTTATATATATATATATATATATATATATATATATATATATGTATATATATATATATATATATATATATATATATATATATATATATATATATATATATATATATATATATATATATATATATATATATATGGGTATATGTTGTACAAAAACGATTAATTATTTTATGTATCGCTAAAAATTACTAGTATTTATCTCTACAGAGTCCGTAAGAAATATGATATGATACGAAATATGTTTCATGAGAAAACCATTAATAATCTTTTTATACAGACAAATTTCCTCGAAAATTTCTTAACGAGTCTTTTTAAACGTTAGAGAATTATTAAGCATCACTCTGATATTGATCACTTTAATTATTAATATAATATCTATATTGAATAAACTTTTTATCGAGAAATACAAAAAAATATGAAATAATTCAAATTCAAGTAGACCTGCAGTAAATTACGGTAGTAGTAGTATAAATACAACAATAAAAGACATGAATATATAGTGATTTGGATATAAAAATAAAATGGCAATGATAGAAAGTAAAATTATGGTTACCGAAATGAAACACGTAAAAAAAACCACACTCAATTTGGCAACAGAGAATATTTGACATACTTTTTCGACAGGAGTTAATAAAAGGAATATTAAGATCCACTAGGAAACTAAGTTCCTGTAGCTGGCTGTATACCATATATCACAAAAAATTTTATTTCAAATCCTTTTATAAAAGGTATATAATAAAATGCCCAAACGGGCTACCACAATTACATTACAAAACGTTTTCAGATTGTTAAATCCATCATCAGTGTAAACCTGAAAGTATATAAACACTTTAATTAAAAAGAACGTTAAATTTAAAATGTTGACTAAGGTTAAAGCAAAATGTGGTTAATACTTACGGGGTATACATGCTATAAGCCACCAAAATGTATGGGTCAAAACCCTTTAAATGGTATAAATTTATAGTTGTTTTACATTATATGTAATTACAAATTAGGATGTTTATGTTACCGTTGGAATTGGTAACATGGCGACGTATGACCCTACATAGGTAATATAGTCCTGAGACAAATTGTCTTCGAGGACCTGTTGATAACAACTGATCAAAATGACATTGTTGACATGTTAGAACAGATTTTGTGTCAGAGCAGTCAGTGTAACTTACGGTAGTTGTCTAAAAATGACAGATGCCAGCATTATTTAAAATTGAAAAAAGTTAAAATTATAATAATGTAACAGTATCAACCATCAATGTTGTAGTCTGTAATGTGAATTAATCTTATAGCTATGTTGAAAACATTGAAACAATTGTTTTTTAAAATTAATGTGGGTAAACTGGAGTATATGAAATTTTGTAGGATCGATAGGCAACCAACTATACGCAATATGTGTCTGGATTTATTTATTTTAAACTAAAGATTTTAACGAGAGGCCCTGTATGTTATGAAACATTTGGTAACTAGAAAATGGTAAAAAGGCACATCTAGGAAGATGGGTTCTATAAGATTTATTATTGAGGAGTGATGTAGTAAAAGATATTAAGAATATTAAGATATAAACTTAATATTGTAGCTATACAATTAACGAAACAACCGTATCAGGACTAGAGGATATAGAAAATGTAGTTTTCTTTAAAAGCAGCGAACTAGAGAGTATGCTAGAAACAGGTTTTATTACAAAAGAAATAAAAAAAAATTATGAGTGTTATGTTAGCTTCCAACCAGTCATTTACCGTATTTTATTCCTCAAAGTCTTCAAGCACTCTACTCTTTAAGACGTTTGCCAAATCTTTATCTATTAATTTCTACTACTTTACTTTCTGGTATCCTGCTTGCTTGTCTTTCGGCTGCACAAAATCTATCTGATTTTCCCTTTATCCACTTGTATAGGTAATGTACTGGTCTTCAGTCTTCATAAAGAACGCATTAATTATAGAAAAATATCATGCCACTGCAAAGTCGATCACACTCTTTTTTTCGTCATTTCTTATTCTTATTTCTAAACGTCCGTGAACTCTTTCTATTCACGCTCTTTCTCTTCCAATATGCCACCTTATTTGTCCTTCATACCCTACTTGTAGACACATCATTTTCAAGTTGATATTGCCTATAACTCTATATTATACTAATAATAAATCTCATCTGTAATATTTAACTCTTAAAATCTTAAGTACCTTAAGTACCTTAGATAATGACCGACGAGGAAAAGCTAGAAGTAAATTTAGGTAAAAGAATATGAAAAAAATGTAAGAATTACAATTGAAGACCTCGGTGCAAGAACCGGGCAAGTCCATTTTTAAATGAAATTAAATTATTGCATTCAGCATAGAAAATTTGAAGTTGCGAATATTTTGGTACGAGAATCGGGTAAATCCAATGAATCCCCATTAATTTAGCGTAGCAATGGATTTATCCGATCATCCATTACGGTGCAAGAATCAGGCAAGTCCAAAAGATATCCGATTTTAGCACCAAAATAATCGCGTGTAGTGGAAGATATTGGAGTAGGGATAACGCTTACTGGTCCGGTGGTACTGGTCTGGTGTTTAGGTATTTTGTTTTCAGTTGTGAGATTTTGTTAAAAAGAACAGGATGTAATTTTGTGTTATGATAAGAGAGGTAGAAAACGAGTAACACACGAAAGTGCGTGGCAAAGAAATGTAAGAAAACAGTTAAGCCTGCGGAGAGGAGTATCTGAATTCAGTTAAAAAGATTGTACCTTAAAGAACAGTGGGAATACGATGCACTTACCGACTTAAATGTTTTTACAAAATTGACGAAACAAAAAGATTCTTTATTCTCTTATCTTTTAACAAATTAGGAAATAATCAGAAACAAGGCTTATATTCGGGTGAATTGATTTCTTTAATACCAGTGCAAAGAAAGCGGCCAAAATCAGGACAATAAATCCAAAATTAAACGAAGTTACCATTCTCAGTAAAAAAGATGAGTCCATCGAAATATTATGTTTCGACTTCCAGCAGAATTTGACTTTACCCCATGTTTCAGCAGGAGAATTGTTTTACAAAACACAACTTTGAGAATATAATTTTTGTATTCTTTCGAGAGAATTGGGCATGTCAACTTTTTACATGTATGATGAGCAGACCGCTAAGAAAGGAAGTAACTAAGTCACATCCTTTCTTGATCATTATATAAACACACATTTACCTGGTTCAGTAAGTAAGTTATACATTTTTTCGGGCAATGCATTTGCACAGAACAAAAATCAAACGTTAGTGAAATATCTGTATACTTTGGTAAATGTAAATAAAAAAAATTAGTCAAATACATCACCAGTACCCCAAACCAGGACACAGTTTTCTACCATGTGATAGGTCATTTGGACTCATAGAAAAAAATAAAAGGAAGAAGGAAAGAATATATCTACCGTCAGAATGGATAAAGTTAATTTAACAAACTTCGAAAAAATTTAAGGTACTTTCTTGGTCTTGTAGACCAAAAAATGAGCCTTACCTTTTCTGACCATTTTAAACAACTCTTTAAATCAGCCCCCCAAGGGTTAAAAAAAAGAAAAGTTTGGTATATCAACCTATAGATTAATGAGGTATACAAAAAATTATCAGTTTATCGAATGTTCTGTAAGTTTGGGAATTGTTATTTCCACAAATTTTTTTATGAATCCAGAAGGAGATATTATTGCATTCGCGATTTCTAATAATAAAGCATACTCAAAGCGCCTGGACATAAACCTTTAAAAAATTAAAGAAATAATAGACTTAGTACGAAAATATGTACCTTTAAATGACCAAGGTTATTACAACCGCATGTTTGAAAATATTATTGATAATACCGAAGACCCAAATTTTGGAGATGTAAACGAAGATCGTAATGAAGGTTGTGTTAGTGACTCTTCTTATGTTTAAAATAATTATTTGGTTATATTTTCATTTCAATGTATAATTTGCAATAAAAAATCCAAAACAGTACATTGTGCAATTTTTATTTTTAACACGTGAGATTTTTGGAACAAAAAACAGGCAAGTCCATTTTCTCAAAACAAAATTGTTGCATCTACAATATGAATAAAAAGTAGTGATTGAATAAATAAGACTCGTCCAATGTTCCTCTAGAAGAATTAATTTAATTAAGTACAATTTATTCACATTTTCTAAAAATATCCAAAAATATTCAAAAAGTTTTTTTTGATTTCCCAACAATTTAGAAAAGTGGAGATGCCCGGTTCTTGCACCGAGGTCTTCAAATTATTGTTATGAGTGCCAAGTAAAAGAGCATAAATAGGAATTAAGAAATTATTTATTAAAGAAAACGTAAGAATTTGTGGAAATCTTTGAATTAGTATAAATTGTATAATATTATAAATTAAAAATATCATCCCCTAACGTATCATCTAATTTAGTAACTTATTAGAGTTAATTATAAACATCAATTGAGATCTCTAAAGTAAATAATTATTTTAAGTATAATTGTAACTGTAAAGTCAGTCATATTTTTGAGAAAAATAAAGAAATTATATAAAAATAAAATATATTCGTAAAAGTGAACTTAGGTATAGCGATAAACAGACTCTTGAAACTTGACGGAACGTATTGGTAACTTAGACCGTGTCTTTGGTTCATAAACAATGAAACAATCAACATCTAGGCTGACACAAGTATTTAGATATTCAAATATAGACACTGATATTCAATCGGTACTCGGAGCACATTTTTGAAGAGGCTTTAAAAGATATTGATAAAGACATCTCAATAAATGGAGTCAAGCTCAATAACCTGCGGTATGCAGATGGAACAATAGTGTTTTCCAATACCATAGAAGGGCTGCAAAACTTAATGAACAGAATAACGGAAACAAGTAGAACATATGGACTGGATATAAACACAAGCAAAACCAAGCTAATGATCATCAGCAAGGAAAACATAACTGTGAACCAAATGAGAATTGAACGTGTCCCACAATACAACTACTTTGGAACTATAATCAATGAGTGGTGGGACAATACCCAAGAGATTAAATGTCGCATCGGAAAGGCAAAACGTACATTCTTGACTATGAACTCTGTGTTCAAGAGCTATGATCTTACCCTAGAAACAAAATAACGCTCCTTATATGTTACGTGTACTCAGTGCCTCTGGACGGAGTAGAAACGTAGACATTGAAGGCGGAAACTCTATCAAATCTTCAAGCTTTTGAGCTATGGTTATACAGAAGGATCCTGAAGATACCATGGACAGACAAAGTCATCAATGAAGAAGTACTGCGGATGAACATAACCGCGGATTTGGTCAACATCGTGAAGGGCCGTAAGCTGCAGTGCTTGGGACATATAATGAGAAATCAAGGCAGATAGGAGCTACTTTAATGCATTTTACAATGTAAAATTTAAGAAAACAGGGCCCCAGGACGAAAAGTATATCCTAGCTTGCTAACCTAAGAGCATGGTATAGAAAGACCTCAACACAGCTATTTCGTATAGCAACCAACAAAGTCATCATAGCCAGAATGATCGCTAACGTTCGGAACGGACAGGCACCCTAAGAAGAAGATAGAAACAAACACTAGTGGTAAAATGTTAAGTAGTGACAAATAGTTAATAAACCCTCTAAAATTCCTTCTATACCACATGGCGATATTTTTATAATAGACATTGCTAACAACCCTTAAAAATTGATTCGGCAAAAAAAAAACAATAAAAAGAAAAATGGTATATAGGCGTGATGGTTTTTAAAAGAGTTATTCGTTACGTGTATTGACCTACTACTAAATATAGATATTCTTTACCTTTACAAAAATTATAGTTTTAATTTTTTTAAAAGTATGAACATTTATACATTATAAGTTATTAAAAATATTATTTATTCAAATATAAGATACAGAAAAAGTTAATTATATTGTATTGTTGTTACAGGGTAGCGGAGGAAAAGCCCCATACTATATGGGTTCAACTGCCAGTTTACCGCGGGGTGCAACATTTTTAAGAACTTATTCTCCAGCAGTATCAAGTTTATCCGCTGATCGAATGAAACCGCTTCCAACCGGTAAGAGTATTAACCAGTTTTAATGAAAACGCATGGTTTTGGTAAATTTATATGTATAATAGGAGCTAGAGAATGAACTGTACTGTAGTTTTCAGAAGGTAATAGAAAACAACTTAGTAAACACATTGATTCATGTTGTAATCGTTTCGTTATTGTATTTTTATTGCATAACAACTGTATAATAGTGCCCTTTATGTCATATATACATAAAGTGCTCTTTATGATTCGCATATAGCCTTTAAAGACATAAATGCATTTTTATCGGTTTTTGTATTTGGTAGGGTTACGAGGAAAACTGATGTTCTACCTATTACGTGACTAACTAGCATATTCACAAGTTCTTACCAATGACACCGCGACGTTCACCAAATATCAATGCAGTTTGATTTATATAGGACGTCTCATTCAATGACTTAAATGCATTTCTAAACTTTCTATTTAGATAGAGCTTAAGACTATAATCAATATACTTATTTATCATTAAAATGTTTAATTTTTCTTCTTCTGTTGGTACGAGAAACATTAACATATTTTAGCCTGCTTAACTACTCCCCATTAGCCTGTGTTAATTGCTTTAACATTCATCTTTTACATGGCTTTTCTTGGTTGTTTTTCAGTGGTGCTTTCAAATTTATTTTATTCTCATAGTTTGATTATGTAATATTTCCTCGAACTAACTAAGCCAGTTTATCCTTTATAGTTTCACAATTACTCTGCTGATATCTGCTCTCTGTATTAATTTGTCGATGGCGTATTATACGGCCGGTTTTTCTCAATGTGATTCTTAATACTTTGTGCTTAAAGATTGATAGATTTTCATTAGTATTAAAAGTCAAAAAATTATTGACTTATATATTTTTTGTTTGGTACTAAATACCGTATATAAAATCTTATCAAAATCCATAAAAGATAAGCTAGAAAAAGAAGCTGAAAATATAATAAGCGAATATCAGTGTGGATTTAGACGAGGGAGAAGTACAACGGATCAAGTATTCATAATCAGAGAATTACAAGCAGAAAGCTATGAACAGAACTTACCAATGATAGCGCTATTCATCGACTTCCAGCAAGCATACGATAGAATAAAAAGGAAGGAATTAAAAGAGACCCTTGAGGAACTGGGAGTTAGCAGAAAGTTGCGTAACATGATACATCTTACTTTAGAGAATACAGAAAACAGAGTCAAAGTAAATAATCATGCATCGAACAAATTTATAGTAAACGAAGGATTAAGTCAGGGCAATCCTTTGTCATCATTACTCTTCAATTTATGCCTAGAAAAAATAATGCGAGAAGCGAGAATCAATAGAGAAGGACTACTATATCATAAAAGACCCCAAGTTTTGGTATTTCCGGATGATATAGTGTTGCTGGCAATAGGAAAAAAAGAGCTACAGGAGATAGTACAGAAAATAGTAAAAACAGCAAAGAAAATAGGACTTTACATAAATGAAACCAAAACAAAATGTATGCAGTAGACAGATGATCAGTTTAGGGATGAATAAAAGTTTAAAGTAGAATTAGAAGAAATATCATCATACGAATTCGAAATGGTAGAAAGATTTACATACCTAGGTACAATAATATCACGTAAACCTAACATTAAAGAAGAAATACAAGCTAGAATAATGGCAGGAAATAAAAGTGTACATGCTCTTAGTGGAATGCTGAAAAGCAAGATTTTATCAAAAAAGGTAAAAATACAGTTATACAAAACAACTATACAATACAAACCAATAGCAACGTACTGCAGTGAAACGTGGACAATGACAAAAAATTAACAAAATTTACTGGAGATATGGGAAAGGAAAATCTTGATGAAGATATATGGAGAAATAATAAGGTAGATCAAATCAAATCAAAGATCAAATGATGAGTTAAAGAAATCAATATAAGAACCATCCTAACATAATAGGAGTCATAAAGCCACAGAGACTAAGATGGCGAGGTCATCTAGAAAGAATGCCGAACACGAGGACTCCAAAAAGGGTACTAAACTACAATATAAATTCAAAGAAGAGAGAAGGAAGACCAAAAAATAGATGGAATCAGGAGGTAGAAAAAGATATGGAAGAAATTGGACTAGACGGCCAGAAAAGAAAAATGAATAACAAGAAGGAATGGATAAAAGTAACATATCGAGCCAAAGAAGATCTCAGTACATAAAGGAAAGCGAAAATGAAGAAAGAACAAATTTTTTTAAGCCATGGGCCTCTAAGGCCTTTAGTGCTATTGTATATATAATTTTTTACTTAGACTCGCGAGTTAGTACCGTACTCTGCCGTCTCTATTATTGGAGGTTAACGGTTATGTTGGCAAATGTTTTTCTGTCTTCAGCTAAACACATTCAAAGTTATTCAAACAAAACTATGGCCTATTCAGTTTCTAATATTACGAAGAAGTTTTTCTACAAATACTTTTTTCCAGTTCAAGCAATTTTTAAAATTCTCCGGTACACCGACATTTCAAGTGCCTCTAATTTATATAGACTCTTTACCTTAAGAGTCCATGTTTTGATTTTATTAAGAAGAACATATTAAACAGAACATTTTATAATGTTCAATTTTAGTTTGTTATCGTTATATGTATCACAGAATTGACCACGCATCTTAAAAAGAAACTATCTCTAACCTGAGGGATTTCCGCTTTATTTTCTTGTGCTGTCTCATACTTGTAGTTGATACAGCAGCTAATACAACAGTTTGCTGTTGTAATAGCCTCCTATCAATCATAATAGGTAAAGGTACATTCTGCCTCTTCTGGATTACCATTATTCTGGTCTTTTTCTCGTTAATCTTTATGCCAAACTTACGACAAGTCTCATTAAGTTGATCTAAGACATTCTGTAAGTTTGTGTCTATATTACTAAGTAGAACAGTTTCATCTACATATCTTATATTAGAGATTATTATTTCCGTAGAAAAGTTTTTATTTTTTGAATAGCAGTTTTGAGTAAAGGTTAAATAGCGCAGGGGACAATACACAAACGTGTCTTACTACTTTCCATCCATGCATTTATATTTATATGCTTTAAAGGTCGACAGCTATTCGTCTTTTATTCTCAAAAGGCATTTCTCTTTCTATAGTTCGTCTATTCAAATATATTATATGTGCTTTATTTCGTATTTCAATTGCGGCCTTACATTCATTATGAAACCATTGGTCATCTTTTCTTTTTTGTATTCCTAGCATCGATTTTACTGCAGTTAATGTAGTTTCACTTAATAGGATACACTGGTCGTCTAATGATTTCTATTCATTTTTTTATATCTAGTCAGCTTCCTATTTATTTCATCTTCAAATAGTTTTCCCAGGTCTCGAATTTTCTTTCTTAATTTATTCTCTTTTTCCTGACGGCTGATCCTACATCTGAAGTGTACCTAAACTAATAGATGGTCTGAGCAGCAGCATGCACCTCGTCTAATTTTTACGTCTAGAATGCTTGTTTTATCTGTTATCTGACACCTGTTGGTTATCTGATACCTGATCTGTGTTGTATTTTGTGGTACTCACTGGCTTCGTTATGTAGGATTCCGAGCCAAAACATTGTACATAAACATATTGTATATTGCGGTTAAGGGGAAGAGAAAACTATGCCTGTATAATTTGGTCCAATTATGGAAGTACCATTATTGGCTCTATTTAAACACCGCCAAGACAAAAGGCGCACCGGCCCGCTGGCCAGTTGGCCGGTGGAACAGTCCGTAAGTGCATCTGTTTCCGTTTGAGTTGGGGGTCTTAATCTGCCTACTCTCGTAACTCGTGACATACCAGTATCTTGTTCTCCAGAAAGACGAGAACCGTCAAACAGCACAGAGGTCTCAATCTGGCTACTCATCAGTGTCAAGTGACAACCGGTCTATAAAAATAAAACTAAAAACCTTTATTGCCATTATAATACTAACATTTCAACTTAAAAATTTCATCTTCTTTCTTCTGATGTTCCGCATCTGCAACATCTACTGTTTGGACCGCATCCTCTTCGGGTATTTGGTTCTTCTTGTCGTTGACTCCTTGGCGTCTGTTTCTGTAGGTTTTTCTTGTGGCCTCTCTCTTACTTTCCTGTTTGGTACGACCGGTCTTACAGTCGCTAAAGCAGTGGTGTGCCAAAACAATGAGGTTTAAAAATATTTTCGTACAACAATATATATAATATACTTTAATAATTCTAAATAAGGGATAAAAAATAAATACTTTATTGAAATAAAATAGAACTTTTTTAAAGTATTTGCGTTGTTTATTGTAGGTAGTTAGATTTTTTTGTCATAGTTAGATGTAGTTGCGATTTTTCTGCATGATTAGCTTATTTTATGTATTTGATAAATTTGTTTTTCTATTTTATCTTTTGGTGAGGTTTTTAAATATGTTATACAGATAAGTATAGAAATGATATAAAAATGTCTAGAATGTTTAAAATTGTTTTTAGAAATAGTCAGTATTTTTTCTGTATACTGTACATCTTGTAATAACCATTATGATTAACCATTATTAGACGTTCTCCGGACCTTTTCTGTTTATTTTCTGCTGTATATAAGAACAATAAGTTCTAACAAGGCTGCCTGTGGTGAAGATGCGCTTGCAGGACCCTGATTGTAGTACAGATGGTTTTTATATATTTATATTTTTCTTTTATTCCAACTATTTCTACGAGCTGGAAAAAAATGCCATAATCATTTACCAAATCTATCAGTCATCGCTTAACCAACCCCCGAGCTATTTATTTCATGAGGTTTAGCAGTTAGTACAATTAAACTAAGAACTAAAATTATTACTATTAGAGTGATTTATATTAAACTCAACAATTTTCTGGGTTGTACCGCGTCCATTATTATTGCGCCGAGCTTTCGACATCCTCTTCGATGTCTTCTTCAGGGCTTTCGAGATCTTAGTCTCCCGAGTCCGCAGACACTACTACACTGATCACTAATCAAAGCATTACTGATGCTGGGAATAGAGGACTGGTCATTTATTCGTAGATTGGCGCGGGGATAGGCGCGGGG